CTCTATTCACTTCATTAGACAACACTGCCCAAGGATATTATATTGTACACATTTGATTAGCTAGAGGCAACAATAAACTCTTATGTCCCTATTACTTATGTGCCAAGAGACCATCTTAAATAACTCACCAAAAATTCCTTGAAGAATGTTATATAAACCTAACATGAAAAATTGCCCAGTGACCAAGTTTAAATACAAACTGTAAGTAGCATTTGGTATTAAGTGGGCTCAAGAGAACTCCTTAGAGTATATCCATTCAGCAGTTGCTTTCCTGTTGCAAAGAGAGGCTGCTGAAGTGAAAAAGACTGCCACCACAGTACATCTAAGCATCTACAAGGAATTCTTGATGGAGTTCTTTACAGCTGTTTGTTCTGTCATGCCCACATTGGAGCACGCTTGCGGGTACATGCACACACACTCTCCTCCCCCCTGCCACATTGTTCTAAGAGAGATCACTCAAAAAATCTTACATTTCAGCAGCGACAACTGAAAGAAACAACAGTTGCCTGGTACAGCTGTAGACTGAATGCAAAGGTCAAAAAGTGGTAACAAGCAAATGTGTCTCCAACTGTGAGCACAGAACAGAGGACAGTTATTTTTCAGGAGAAATGTTCCTTTGGAAACCTGAATTCTCAGAGGGTATGCTGTCAATTACTTAAAAAAAGACACCATCACACACAAGTCCACTTCCTCTTATCTCCAAATCCAATTCAAGGAAAAAGAAGAAAAACAAATTACAGTGGAAAGCACTGGGGATGTTAAGTTGAGGTTTGCTATCTTTGTGATACTCATATGAAACAATAAGTACCTGGCTCTAAGTTACTTCTGTATCAAAATGGAATTTTAAATAATCTCCCAATGGCCATTTGATCAACTAATTCTTCCTAATGTTGTTTCTTATTTCCCATAAGCACATACCTACGAAAGCTGTTAAAAGCCCCTTTTGCCCTGCTTTGCGGGGGGTTCTGTGATTCATGTTATAACTCTATGTAATTCATTTTTTTTGGTTGTGTCCTAAACAGCATAAGTGAGGAGAAATCTATTTGATTATTTATTAGAGCAGACTGTGTTGTTATTTATTCTGTCACTCTCAAGAGTCCCTATCATGGGTTCACATTTTTCAAACCATGCATGAAAATGTATTTTTGGAATTTGAGGTGGAAACAAAAAAATTACAGAGATAATTCTTTGGGAAAAGGTGTAAAAATAATACATAAAACTGTGAAATTTAGAGATGGAAGGGACTCTGGAGATCATTTTGTATAAATATCCATCTGAATCAGGTACAACTAATAAATTTCCTAAGACTACATCAAAAAGATCCAGAAACACCCTAATGTCCACACACAAAATCTCTAGTACTTTACATCATTTCTAGCAGATTCTCCTGGGGAAGAAAGGTGTGAATTGATCAGCAAAACATGTCTTTATGACCATGCCATCAAGCTCTTTGTGCATACAGTGAACAGTACTGTTTCTGATCTTTCCATAAAAATACTCTTACTCAGTGTTGGACAGAACTATCACCCTTTCCTTTGTGAACTAAAATAAACTCAACTCTTTGTAAAGGATCAATAATTTGAATGGAATATTCCTATAACTATACAGATTGGCCCAAAGTTTCTTATGCTAAGTACTTACATTACATAGTATCTTTGTGCCCAGCTAACAGAAAGTTTGAATCTATACATTAAAATCAAGGAAAGACTAAATATTTTCCTTTAACGAATCATTTACTTTTTACTATTCTCTTTGAAATTCCATAGCACAGAAGAGGCTGAGCCAAGGTGAAGTGGTAAGAAGTAGTATGGTGAGTTCCCTTCATAAAAATGTCTCTAAGCAGATCTAAAAAATGGGCCAGACCAAATCTTCATGGGGAAATTCAGAAAGTGTCACAGTGAGTCATTTGCCTAGCCTAGCTTGGCATAGGGAAAGAGACAGGAAGGTCTATGGACACTGGAGACTAGTGGGGATGGGAGCTTGTTGCATGAAATCTTCTGGCACTCCAGCTTAAGGGGAGGTCTCAGACCCCTATCAGGGCACCATCAGATCCGTACTAAGGCACTGAGATGGAGACAGGTGCTGACCAGAGGCTTTGTCACTAACCAGTTCTGGGTCACAGATCCAGAGCCAACTGAAAAGAGGACCTGCATACGGGGGGAGAGGGGTGGTGGTGTTCCCAAGGAGAGAGACCCTGGACATTCCCGATGAAAAAGACCAGAGATGCACAAAAACCTTGAAATTCAAATATAGGAATGAAGAGAAACATGGAAAGGTAAATATGAATAAAATTATGATAATTAAACAAGGATAATCTGCTTATATTCAAACATAAGGAGATGATACACGTGTCCTATCTGAATCCTATCATCATCAACAGTCATAGAGGATGATCGATTAGACAAGACCTGGGAGTAGTTCTAGTATGTCTTGATGATCTTAAGAATGGAAAGAGGGGAAGAATTATACACAGGAGTAGAGGGGAAAGGAAGATTAGGGAAAATGATCTCACATAATCAGGGTACATATACAAACAATAAGGAGGGTGTGAGTAGGGGGAGAACTCACACTCGAACCTCACTTTCATCTGAACTGGCCAAAAGAAGGAAAAATACGCAAACACACATATGCTTAGTTGGATGTGGAAATATATTTCACTCAATAAGGAAATAGGAGGGAAACGGGAGAGGTGGAGAAAATTAGAGGAAGGATAGATTAAGGAAGGAATTAGACCTAAGCAAACAAATTATAAGGATGTATGAAAATATTAATAGCTCTTTTGGAGTTGGCAAAGAATGGGAATCTGAGGGGGTGCCCATATTAGGAATTCAATGAACAAGTTATGATATATAAATGTAATGTGATATATTGTGCTGAATGAACTATCAGTGCAATGAGCAAACATGAATCCAGAGGACTAATCACATAACATGTGACCCACTACTAACAGACAGGTGAAGTACTCAGAATGCACTCAGAATGCATAATGAGACAAGTATCTTTTTGGATATGGCCAACATAGAAAGTTGTTTTGACTGACTATTTGTGTTTGTAATGGGTTTAGTTCTTCCTGTGTTCTCAATTGGGACAGGAGATAGGAGAGTGAGAAAGTGGATTTTGTCTGATTAAAACAATAAAATACGTATTTTTTTAAATCCATAGCACTGCTATTTAATACTATTCCTTTCACCTAAGACTTTCAATACAATTCAATTTATCTTTGTTTATTTTCAGGTTACTACTAAGGTATGTGAGAATAATTTCATTTTATAGCTGGAGAAATTCAGGCTCAAAGTTTGCTGACATTATCCTATAATGAGACAGTAATTAGTTGAAGGAATCTTGATTATCAATTCATTAATCTCTAACCAGAACCTGTTATAGGTCACTTCATTGTTGCAAAGACCTAGTTATTTCTTTTTTGCAGCAAACAAATTTATAATGATAGTGATATAAAATCAGCCTTAGGCAGACAACTTGCTTATAGGCAATGCTTAAAAAGAGACTGCAATGGTTGCTGTCATATGCTCTGATACTTAAATACATACATACATACATACATATACATACAACCCTTCTTATCAAAGTTTTTATTGTGAGGTCTCCTCATAAATTGTGAGAACATAACAGAAGGAAAAGTTATACATGCTGTGAACTAATTTTCCCCCCTTTTTTATTTAGGCAGCTAGGTGGCACAGTGGGCAGAGTGCCAAGCCTGGTGTTAGGAAGACGAGTTCAGATCTGGTCCCTTAGGCAAGTCACTTCACCCTGTTTATCTCAGTTTCCTCATCTGTAAAATGGGAATAATAATTGCATCTACATTCCAGTGTTGTTGTGAGGATCAAGTGAGATAACTATTGTAAAGTGCTTAGCACAGGGCCTGGTACATAATAAATGCTAATAAATAAATAAATGTTGATGATGATGACGATGGTGATGTTGCACAGTAGGGGAAGTGACTTAGGGCAAGTGACTCAAAGTAAAAGCTTGAACAAACTTGGAAGACCCAGGCTCCCTTGCATGAGCACATGCTCTTCCATGATCTTCATCCTTCTGCACAAACACCAGCCTCCAGCAGTCTGAAAGGTTGGGTGGAAGAGAAAGACAGCCATGGAAGAAGAGAGCCCTTCCTTTGATATGAAATTTCAAATAACCACTCTTCACACAAACAGATGGCAAACCTTCTAGTTAAAAAAAATTTCTGTATGAAGTCACACCAACACTCCCCAGTAATGAAGTTATAAAAAAGAAGAAATATGGTAGAGGAAGTTCTATAAAACTTAACAAATTGGCATTCTAACTCTAAATTAAAGTGGCAGTTAGGTGCATGTTGGCAATATATCAGCCTCCTATTGCTATCTCCATTTCTCTGTTGTCTCTCACCATTCCCAGGTACCAGAACTGGTCACTGATGCTCTTCCACTATGAACTCTCCCAGATGGATCTCTGGCTCCTTTCTTGGTGTCATGTTGATTGGTGAGAGCATCAGGCACCTGACTACTCTCCTGTCTTCCCACAGATTCTGTTTCTCTTTCCCTTACTTATTTGCCACCTCTTGCTCTGGGAAGAGTAACCAAATCAATACTTCCATTACTTCTGGAAATGGCACATCATTCAGTGGCCCTATGGTTCCATTCACCATTCCCATGACTTCATCTTTCCCTGCTTACCTCTCTCCTATATGTGTTCCCTCCTCGTATCACAAGGTAAGCTCTGTGAAGGCAGGGACTGTCTTTTTTCTTTTTTTGTATTTCTATCCCCAGGACTTTGAAACAATGTGTGGCACACAGTATGCACTTAATAAACATTTTTTTCATTCATTTATTCATTCAGCAAGGGGGAATCCTTTAGCTGATTAAAAGGAAACATATGAGTGGGAGGTTATGAGCTATTTTCTAGAGAAGATTCTGACCTTATAGGTACCTAAAACCAGGGCTAGCTTTCTTGGGCTCACAGGTGAGGAGTCATGGGTGCTACACAGAAAGTAAGGGGACACTTACCGTTTTGCTCCAAGAAAGGCCTGTTGTATGGTGTTCCTTGATGTATGCTTGAAGCTCGGTCCAGATGTTCAGGTAGGACTTCACCCAATCCACGTGGCGTAAGTCACTTAATCAGTGAGAGAAAGACACAATCATGTAAGAGAATGGTGATTGTTTTTTAATGCTACATTTATGCCTGCTAATCCAAAAGACCTGAACCAACTGCTTTTTCTATTTCTTCTCCCCCATTTATCTCCAAGAAGGGGAAAAACATGTGTGGAAATCATTTGCATATTCCAGATCTGATGTCTGTCTAGACCAACCAAGCTGAAGTGATAACTGCAGCTATCACGTTGTTTTGCTTGAGAGGCACCTCCTGAATGATTTGACCTGGCTGTTTACTTCTAAAGTGTCACTGGTGTGCATAATGTCTTATAGCTATTAAAAAGTAAACCTAAGTCTTGCTCTTCGGCCCTTCTCGTTTTAAGAAAATATTTCATCCAAATAAATCCAGTCAGGTAAAAAGAAGAGCAAAAGGAATCTCAAATTAAGTGGCATCCCACTTAATTTATCAATTAAGGAATTTGAAAAGTTCTTCCATTTCTCCAAATATGGCAAGCTTTTATGTATTCATGGATCTGATATAAGAGTTTTACCTTAGGATCTTTTTTTTAATTTTAAAAACTTTTCTCAATAAATACACACAAATGTATGTATGTGTGTATGCACGTATAGGTACCATACTACTTCTAAAGGCTGTCTCAACAATATAGACTCTATTCTTTTAATGAGAGCTCTTTAAAAGGATAAAATGCAAAGGTATAAATAAATAATGGCAATTTCATGTGGTGATTTTAAAAAATTAGTACACAAAACTGTTGTATAAAAATATATTTACTGCGTAAATAGGTGACTAGACAATTGACAGGCAGGGGAGGTATGGGGTGAAGCTGCCTTGAAGCCCAGGCAGGGCAGCCTCATACAGGGAAGTTTGTAGACCACATTCAACTAGAGGAAAAAATATAGTAGTAGGGACCCCTTTGTGACTTCCATGTGACTTCTGCCTCCTATCCAAGGTGAGCTAGAGGACAAAAGTAGTATGATTATAGGTCACAGTACGGTTTTAGGTAAGCCAAATTTGGGAGAAAAAATGAGGTATAAATTGAACAAATACCATATATGGATGATGTACGCGTGTGTGTGTGTGTGTGTGTGTAATCGTATACACTGAGTATATTTTTGCAACGATAATAAAAACTGACATCGAGGTAGCACTTTTAAAGTTTGCAAAGTACTTGGTACGTGTAATCTCATTTGGGTCCCAAAGCAATTCTCTGGGGCAGATACAAGTACTGTTATTCTCATATTGTGGCTGAAGGAGTTGAAGTTTCCTGAGGTGAACGTGTCAGTGGTGACACAGCATGTTAGAAGAAGGATTAGAACCTAGGTCTTCCTGACTCCAAGTCCATGTAAACCTGGGTGGGCAAAACCATTTTTTTCACCATGATAAGCTTGTCTCACTTTAACTTGATGGACCAGTCCATCAGTGCTCAGTTCTAACTTATAAAGTGTTGGAAAGGGAGACTTACAAAGTTAGTTGCATGTATTTAAAAATGATATTTATTTTTTGTTTTTCTGGACTTGACAAACACCTATGACAATAAACATTCCCATGTGCAAAGAACACCTTGAGGATTATACATGAAACTTGTGACTATCATATTCAGCTTGCTGTATTAAAAAGTATATAATAAATTCAACATGTTAATTTCCAAACTATCCACCTTGTCTGTCTCCCCCTGAAGTTCTCTTTGGTGTCTTATTTTTAAAATGCTTCCATGATCCGCTAGAGCAGGCTAAGGTCTACAAACTTGTTTTTCATCTACATTCTGATAAATGTATTTCAGTATAATTGGTCTCCTTTGCAATCATATGTATTTTGTTTTATGGATTTAAAAGCATCATTCTGAGAAGGGGTCCATAGACTTATTTGCTAGGCTGCCAAAGGGATCTGTAACAGACAAAAAATGTTAAGAAGCTTTGGGCTAGAAGTATTTATTGAAGGATAAACAGAATCAGCCACAATTGCCATGGAAAAAATCTGTACCAGGGATAAGATATAGATAAAAGAGAGATAGTGATGAAACCAAAAACAACCAGCTTGTTCTGGTCCCTCAATGAGGGGGAATACCAGCCAGTCAATACCCTTGTTTGATTGATAACAAGCAGACACAGAGAGCCTGCTGTACACAGCCCTGTAATGAAGATGTTAAGAGGACAGTCAGAGGTCATCATCAGCCTGTCTTTCAATTCTGGTGCTTTTTTTTTTTTTAAAGGGAAGAACAGCTCAGTGACTACAGTATCCCACAAGATGCAGTTGTGAAAATTTTCTGTATGCCCTGAATGAAACTGCAAGTAGTGGAAGAATGAAGCAAGCTTGGGTCCATCTGCAATACAGAGAAAGAACTGATATTGTTTGAATACAGACCGAAGCATGCTATTTTTCACTTTCATTCTTTTTCTTTTGAGTCTTGTACAAAATGACTAATCAGGAAATGTTTCACATGATTGCACGTGTACAACCTATATCTGATTGTTTACCATCTCAGGGAGGTGGAGGGAGAAGGGGCAGAGGGAGGGTGGGAAAGACAGATAGAATTTGTAATGCAAAACTACAAAAATGTGAAAATTATTTTAACATGTAATTGGGGAAAAATAAAATATATATTAAAAAAGTAGGTGATCACTCAGGGTTGTGGGATATGGGGTATTACGCATCCCTAGGGTGTTCTGTCCCTGGCAATGATGGGCCAGTTTATGGCCAGGATTCTGGTTTTACTGGAAGCTAGGTGGATGAGTTCTTCTGGCAGTGGTTCTACAAGGCTTATAACAGACTTGCCCTTGATGTTGCCAGAAATACTCTTTCCAGCCAAATTCTGACATTTATGGGCTAGCCCCAGATTGTTTTTGTGGTATCAGAACACTAACTCCGACAGAAGAGGAAGCCTCAACTCCTCAGCACTGCAGCTGAGATGCCAATTGGTAAGAGGTACTGTTACTCCCCTTCCCCCTACAGGGGTAAGGAGTGATGCTCAGGAAGTGAGGCGGGTAGAGAAGAGGACCTGCCAATGGGAAAACAGAACATTTCTAAGTTGGTCTGTAGGAAAAATAAGGAAGGCTGAGTGATGCCAAGTGTTTTCTTTGTGTTCATGTAGGATAAGCTTAGAGGCCCTTTGAATCGATGCTAAACATGGCTTAAGTAACTTGACTCATTCTGCGTGTGTGTGTGTAGCAATAGATTTTTTTTTTACCTCCAGCAATCACTAATATGAAGGTGACCTTTTAGCAATTATTGATCTCATGTTTTAAAAAGGAAAATGACTTACAAACCCACTGCCCTCAAGTAATTCATATTATAATGTCCTACAGTATCTGAGATATGAGAGACAATTTGGACTCAGTCTTGTCTGGGTAAATGAACATAACCCATGCTCTCTGGATGAGTAGTTATGTTACCAGGAGAGAAAGAGGAGCATGACAGACCTTGGGGAATAATTGTTCCTGTGCCACAAAGAACCATCTCTACTGAGAACAATGAAGATGCCAGGTTCTCTTTGTTGAGTCATCCAAGCATAACTTCCCGAGTTCAGGATGAACTTGACATTAGTACGTAGCTACAGACCATGACGTTTAATCAAAATGTGTCTACTCTCTGTGACGGCAATAATGATGTCATTGTTGACAGTAAAATTTCAGCCAAAATTTTAAATAAGAAAAAAAATAAAGATGACCAATAGAAAAAGTATACTGTGAAATGTACTATACATTCATATATATTATTTATAATTCTTATTTGTTTCATTTGCCACTTAAAATAGTAATTTATTTAATTATACAATGTGCTTGTTTCCTGTTCTCACTTTTAGAGCTATGCTGGTAAGGTGAAGTGGGATCTTAATCATTGAATCCCTCAAATTCATTTCACTTGAAATATACAGATTTGCGACAAAAATGATAGTGGCATCCCCCCCCCAGAGAAGCTTCATGACCCCATTTGGGGTTTTCTTGACAAAGATACTGGAGTGGTTTGCCATTTCCTTCTTCAGCTTATTTTACCAGGGTTAAGTTGAATTCTCCAGGGTCACACAACTAGTGAGTGTCTGAGGCTGGATTTGAACTTGGGTCTTTCTGACTACAGGCCCAGCGTTCCATCTGGTACAACACTTAGCTGCTATTGATAGTTGAGAGTAATGATATAGATAAAGTTTACCTAAATTTCAGCCAAACACTTAACAAACCTTTCTTTTGGATAAGACAAAAAGAGATCTGGACTAGAAGACATTATAGTTAGTTTGATTCTGAATTACTTGGTGTCATCTTGGTGTCAGAGAAGTGGCAAAGTGTCCCAGATCTTTGACTCTGGCCCTATTGCATATTTTTGTGGATGACTTGGATGAAGGCACAGATAGTGGCTTATTAGATTTTCAGATGAGGCCAATATGGGAGGGATCCCTAACATGCTGGATGACAGGCAGGATTCAAAAATATCTTGATGGACTAGAACAATGGGTTGAATTGAATAAGAAGGTATTTCACGTAGATACATGTAAGGAATATGTAAATGAACAAATACAAGGTACTTGTTCAATACAAGTTAAAATCAGTTGTATCAGACACATGACAAAGGGAGACATTGTTAGACAATAGCTCCTGGGGAGAACATGAGACCATTTTTTGGTGGACTTTGAGCTCAATATAAGTTGATAATAAGTACGACATGACAGCCTCCAAAATTTCTGAGAACACTTCAAAATCTCAGATCCTGTGATTCTGCATCTTAATTATCTCAAACCAGGATCTCCCTCTCATCTGTCCTTTTCTTCTTTACATAGCTTCATTTTCTGATTTCTCCCTTCCCGAATTTTACAAATTACCAACATTTACAAATTGATGTTAGTAAAGGAAATAAAAAATAGTGTATATGCTGGAAAGAGTAAAGACTGCTAGATTTTGCACCATGGGTCTGAGACCAGCTAAAAGTCACTCAAAATGCTCTGGGCCTGGGTTTTCTCATCTGTAAAATGTGGATAATAATACTTGTATCACCAACCCTCTTGTAACTGTTTGATAAAAGCCCTTTGTAAACCTTAAGACATTTGTAGAAATGTGACATTTTTAGATTACAGCAAAAATGAGGAAAATATACAATGTACACAAACCTGGTGAAGTTGTTCATCACAAGAATAATAATAAAGAAGTGATATATTAAATATCGGGATATTAGTTTTATTTACGATTTTGTTTTGTCTCTCTGAATATATACATTGAATTTCAAAGATTTCTGAAAGAAAGAATGGGCTTTGCTAAGCAATAGTAGCATGACCACTTCTCAATGATCAACTCCAAAGCAAGGACAATAAAAATAAGGCAACATACCTGTGCTTGTAGTCCTTTAAGACCCTGTTGGTATAAAACGTAGCAGCATCATTCATCTCCTTGACATAAGGACCTGGTTTGGGGGACTAAGAGAACAGCACCATCACCCCAGCATAGAAGAAAAAAAAATAACAAAGCAAGAAAACAGTTCAGAGAAAAAAAGATAAGCAGTTGAGGTGGTGATACTTCAAAGTTATTAAGCAAAAAATGAGTGCATTAAGGCTAGGGAGGGCAATTTCATAGGTCGCACAGAACACGTTAAGCAGAATAAACATTTGGTGTAGGCTGAAAAGAAAGAGGAAAAAGCCTCCGCTGATGCATCAGGTTGAAGATGAAGGAACAGGAAAATGGAGTTTACATCTTTTTACATGTATAAATATTAGTGGTGTCTTCAACTACAAAAGAGTGCCAAGATGAAGAATCCCCAAATTATGGTGTAGGCTTACCACTGCTATCCACCCTAGTGCAGGGATGCTTTCACTCACAGCTGAAAGATGATTAAACATTTGACTCCCCCGATTTCTCTCTCTGAAAGTTTGTATTTCCTGAATCTTTTCCGATATTGGTTTAAGAAGTGCAGCCACATCATTCTGCAAACAGCAAAATATGAAATATTGTTATTGACGACAGAACAGAAACAAAGATGCACTATCCATGTTGGCCGAATCTGAAGCTGCCAAGATTTTCCACTTGTCTGGTGGTCTAAAGTAAACATATGGGAAGTTTCCAGAACAGAATGAGTTAGGTTTTTTTCCCCATTACAACTTCCAAATAATCATCTCCTAAACTTTCAAAAATTCACATCTTTTCCCAGGCTAATAGTACTATTTTCTAAGACATCACAAAATATAACAGCATCAAAACCCTTCTATGTAGTCAAGGTCCATAATGCACATAGTGAAATGAAACACCAAGGAAAAAGAACTTTTATATTCATCCAGTGCTTGATAAATATGATCTCATTTGAGGATCCTTGTGAAGTATTTCAAGAATTATTATTCTACTTCGCAGATAAGAAAACCAAACCCTGGCCATAAAGGAATGACTTGTCCCCAGATCACACAGGTTTGGTCAGGACAAAACTGATTAGAACTCAGATTTGTTTTTATACCACATCCAATGTACTTTCCATCACAACCTTCTTCCAGAATAATTTTAATTATCCTGAAAACATCAATGAGTAACTTAGAACTAAAACTGTTTTTCTTCTAGTTGAAATGATCTAGTTTATCTTTCAACAATATAAACTCATTCATAGTTGCCAAATTTTAAAGTCCCTGGATGTTGGGTAAACTTGGCCTATAATTATTAGACATGGTGACTTCTGCTGAATCAATCACTTGACATGCCGTTCAAGTGGAAACATATTACTGAAATAGCCTCTATAGAAATGCTATATTATTTCACAATTTCTCACTTGCATTCTCTCCTCTGCCTCCTTCCAAATTTTAAGGAGTAAATAAAACAGCTCCCTACTACCCAATCATTTCCCCTTTGTGATGTGCCACTTAACCTTTGAAGCCTTGTTATGAGCAGCTGAAGAGATGTGAGCTGCACTCAATCAAAACCTATTTACTGAAAGTAAAATCCTTTGCTTAAAATCTGCTTGCTTTCCAATCATTCTCATCAAGCCACTGGAGACTCTATTTTAAAAATTTTCACCACTATGAGGGTGGAAAGGAAGGAAAAGGGAAGGTAGTTATCTTCTGCTGCTTTGTTGTAATTGAGTTGTTTCAGTCATGTTTATTTTTTTTTGGGGGGTGTTAGGCGATAGGGTTAAGTGACTTGCCCAGGGTCACACAGCTAGTGTTATGTGTCTGAGGCCAGATTTGAACTCAGGTCCTCCTGAATCCAGGGCTGGTGGTCTATCCACTGTGCCACCTAGCTGCCCCAGTCATGTTTGATTATTGTAGAAGGTGGGACTTCAGTTTATCCTGTATGTATCGTATCTTGTTGGTAGGTATTTTGCATGTTGCCTCTCCCATTGGACTGTGAGCTCCTTGAGGGCAGGGATTGTCTTAACTTATTTCTTAGCAAAGCAACTGGTACATACATAGTGCTTAATAATGCTAGTTGACTGACATATAGGAGAGACCTATGTAGTGAGTTAAGAACTTTAATAAGTTTGATAGCTTCCATTTTGGTAGGATTTTAAGGTGCTATGTAAGGAAGAGGAATTTGAAGTGATGTTTCTTGTATGGCTATGAAATTTGGCAGCTTCTGCAGCTGAAAATGGGGGCAGCTAGGCGGCACAGAGGCAGGTAGGTGGCACAGTGGATAGAGCTCCAGACCTACAATCAGGGGGACCTAAGTTCAAATCCAGCCTCAGACACTTACTAGATGTATGACCCTGGGCAAGTCACTTCACCCTGTTTGCTCAGTTTCCTCATCTGTAAAATGAGCTGGAGAAGGACATGACAAACCACTCCAGTACCTTTGCCAAGACGACCTCAAACAGGGTCATGAAAATTCAGACATGACTGGACAACAACCTACAAGTCAGGCTTGAAAAGCCTTTCTGGAATCAGTGTTTAAAAAGCAAACATTTCCTTCTACTTAAAGCAGGCAAAAGTAACCACAATGCAATGATGACCAGCAGTCTCTCAAAGCATTCTCCCAAAAGGCACCAAATTTTGGTCTGTGGCTGCCACTTTAGAGACCCCAGCTGCAACAATTTGCTAAGCTATAACAGTCTTAATGCTCGGACCCTTTGAGAAAAGCCAGGAGAGCTGAATTGTTGCTGATTGCTGGCTTATTGCCCTCAGAGAAAAACAACCAGGGCCTATGTATTTATAATATTAGATAGATTTATTAAGTCTATTCTTGTTTATCTCTGACTTCCCAAGAACAAACCATAAAATTTGAGAAGACAGAGGATTTTGGAAGATATTTTATATAAGTTATCTGATCAAGACTTCATAAAGATTGAGAAAGTCTGCTCCTGCCTCAGTTTGGCAATAGCGTGCAAAAAATCAGAGCTGTCTTTTTTTTCTTTTCCTGAATTAAACATGTAAAGCTGGAAGTACTGAGTGCCACAGCTATGAGCCTGTTCTAATAAACAGCAAAGCTTTTATTCTGTGCCAATAGTTTTCTTGTACAATTTAAAGTATGTTTACATTCTCCAGTTCTTCTTGAACTTTTGCAGTGGGGATTCAAAACAGAGGAAGAATGTTGTTAGCTCTATGGCCTGTTTCCAGGAAGGCTTCACTGAGGGCTGATGGGGGAAGATGTGATAAAGAGACACTTTCAGCTATTTCAGTGTTGAGCACATAGTAGGTACTCAATGAATATTTGTTGAAGTGAACTGAAATAGAACTTTTTCCTAAGAAGAGAGGAGGACCAGCCACTTTATAGGTTTCAAGGATTTCTTTATTTAGAATTTTAATGGCATCTTTCCTTATTTGGTTAACAACCCAAGCACTCATTGGTTAGGCATATCTGGAATGACCCCACCCTGTAGTCATTCTTTAATGTTTCTTCAGGCTTCCTTAACTCACTTTCCTAAGGCAAAATCACATTTTATAAAGCTGAAGCTGGTCCTAAGGATGGGAGGGAAGGCACGCTCCAGACACTGTGTTAGGTGCTGGGGATGCAAAACCAAAAATGTGACCATTGCTGCCTGCAAGGAGCTAACATTCGATTGGGAGGAAGGCATCATGAGTACATATAAGTACGCTGCTGTTGTTGAATCATTTCAGTCGTGTCTGATTCTTCGTGACCCCATCTAGGGTTTTCTTGGCAAAGATACCAGAGTGGTTTGCCATTTCCAGCTCATTTTATAGATGAGGAAACTGAGGCAAACATGGTTAAGTGACTTGCCCAGGGTCACACAGCTAGTAAGTGTCTGAGGCCAGGTCTGAGCTCAGGAAGATGAGTCTTCCTGACTCCAGGCTCATTACTCTATCTACTGTACCACCTACTTGCCCTTGTAAGTACCTGCAAAATACGGATAACATTGATACAGGGTAATTTTGCAAGGGAAGGTACTAGCAGCTAGGAAAAATCAAGAAAGACTTGGGGGGGGGCACTTGAGCTGAGTTTTTTTCCTTGAGCTGTTTTGAAGGAAAAAAAAACCAGATTCTCATAGGATGAGATGAGGAGGTAGAGCAGTCTGTGTATGGAGAAGATGGGTAGTACCCAGGTACCAAGGTGAAAGATGAAATGCCACTTATAAGGAATCGCAAAAAGGCCAGTCTGGCTGGGCCACAGAGTAAAGGAAGGGAAGTAATGTGTACCAAGGTGGGAAACATTAGTTAGGATCAGGTTGTGAAGGGTTTCTTTTTTGGTGAGGCAATTGGGGTTAAGTGACTTGCTTAGGGTCACACAGCTAGTGTTTAGTGTCTGAGGCCAGATTTGTACTCAGGTCCTCCTGACTCCAGAGCCGGTGCTCTATCTACTGCACCACCCAGCTGCCCCTGTGAAGGGTTCTAAATGCCAACCAAAGAATTTTTTATTTGATCCTAAAAGTAATAGGGAGCCACTGCAGTTTACTGAAGAGGGTAAACACATGGTCAGACCTGCATTTTCAGAAAATCATTATAGCAGCTGTGTAGGATGGATTAAACTGGGGAGAGATGGACCAAAGAGATCAATTAGGAGGTTATTGCAATGGTCCAGGAAAAAAGAGACAAGGGACTGAACTAGTGTGGTGTTCTGTGAATACGGAAATGTTGGGGAGGTAGAAATGGCAAGATTAGGTAACTGACTGAATCTATGGGGTGAGGGAGAGAGAGGGATTGGGGCTAACATGAAGGTTGTAAATGTGTGTGACTGAAAGGATGGTGTTGTATTCATCAGAAATAGGGAAGTATGCAAGAGGGATGAGTTTTAAAGGAAAAATAATTTCTATTTTGGACTTCAGGCACTTCAAATGCTTAATGGGCCAGAAATGAGCTATCCACTTCATTCCCTATCCAACAGCAACTTTCAAAAAATACATGTTTCTGAGAGATATATTAGCCCCATAGCACATCACTCTATTTCAAAGAGTATTCCAAGACTTACGGGTCTATGTGACCTTAACTTCTGCTTCAAAGCTGAAAGATTGATATGTATTTTCACCCTCATCTCAACTCAGTCCCATGAGTAACTGAATTGTTTCATAGAAAGAACTAAATAAAACTGAAGACTGACCTCATCAAGCTACAGCAAAGGGTTTACTGAGGGGGGGGGTTAGTGGTGGAAATCATGCCATGCTCTTTGTGATGAACAGGTCAACATTCTTCAAATAGGAACAAATTGTGGTATATAAATATGATAGAATGCTGTTGTGATGTAATAAATGAGGAAAGACAATTTCAAAGAGAATTAAAAAGACTTGTATGAACTAACGCAGAGTAAAGTAAGAAGATCCAGAAGAACTATTTATACTATCACAATGATATTACAAAAATGAATATTTTGAAGACTTTTAAAAGCTGATGAAGTAAATGAACAGAACTAGGAGAACAATTTACTCAGTAACAACCATACTATAAAGACAACTATGAACACTGTAGGAATTCGGATCAACGCAAAGATCACACATGATTTCAGAGTCCAAATGATGAAGCATCTTGTCCTCTCAAAGAGGTGATGGATTTAGGGCAAA